AGCAGTAGATGGGGTAGGTGTGGATGAGATGGATGGATGGATGGATGGATGGATTGGATGAGCGATGGATGGACAGATGGGGGTGAGGATGGATGTATGGATGTGATGATGGGTATGGTATGGATGGAGGTGGATGGATGGATGATGGCATGGTGGATGGATGGGTAGATGGTATGGATGGATGGATGGTGGATGGGATGGATGATGGATGGGATGGATGGATGAGCAGGTAGACGGGTAGGTGGATGTGATGGATGGATGAGCAGGTAGATGTAGGTGGATGATGGATGGATGGATGCGGATGATGGATGGATGATGGATGGATGGCATGGATGGATGGATGGATGGATGGATGAGCAGGTAGATGGTAGGGATGGAGGATAGATGGATGGTGGATGATGAATGGGTGGGTGATGGGTAGGTAGACGGATAGACGGATTAGTCATTCTATCTTTGCATCTCTTATACCTTCTCAGTTCAGACAACTATGTCTTCACTAATCCATTTCCTAGCAAGGAATATCTCAAAATGTTCTTACAGAAGGAGGAGATGTATCTGTGTCGCTGCCTTTGCCAACTTTCTAAATCTGGCACCCTTTACAACAAAACCAATCCTCTATCGTGCAACATGGATGAAATACATCTCATTAATTACTTAAGCAAGTTCTTGCATCTCCCAAGTTCATGGAGACGCATCATCTTCTCTCTTTCATCCATCCATCCATCCATCCATCCATCCATCCACCTACCCATCTACCTGCTCATCCATCCATCCATCCATCCATCCATCCATCCATCCATCCATGCATGCATGCATGCATGCATGTAGCCATCCATCTACCCACCTATCCATCCTGGGCTCATAAAACTCTTTACAAATACTTCAGCTTACTAACACATTTCCCAAGTCTAAGCCTCTCCAGCATTCCCTACACACACAAACACACACACTCTCACATATTCCAAACTCACCCCTTAGGCACATAGAAGCACCGTAGGGTTTACAAAACACGAGCCTTCACATTAACTCTCTTCTCTGCAGCCACACGACTCAGGCAGGCACAGGACCCATCAGACAGACCGGAGTCACGGGCGGGAAGAACGTCCCCCTCGCAGCCGTGGGTGGTGAGGTCAGGCGTGAAGTGAAGGGAACCAGACCCTGTCAGGGGATGACCCGGACATACTGGTCTTTCTGACTTTTGTCTTCTTGTGTTGGAGTGGTTTAGAAGAAATGCTTTTGGATAAAAATAAGGTGAAACAATGATAGCGTCACATCCATTGCGATGGTTGCGGTGAGGAAATTATTTCGGGGACTTGGAAAATCTGGTTCTAACTGTTTAAACCCTTGGAACTGCCCTCGCACCTGGCTTTGACCGGTCTGTGCCACGAAGGCCCCTCCCTCCCCACCAGTGGCTCCCACCAGAACCGCGGTGCACACCCCCCGCCCTGGGGAGTGGCTGGGCCCTCTGCCTGTTGCCAGGGTGAAGGAGACGCCACTCAGCCCAGCATGTCATGAAGGGGACAGAATGAGGAGGGAGTGTGACGGCCGAGTGTGACCACTGGGTGCCATATTCCAATTACTCGTCAGCCTCATAAACAATGCACTGCAGGGTTGGCCACTCTGTCTCATTTTCTCATGGCTGAATACCTGCTGATTGATCGTGAGCACCGAGGATCTCAAACCCAGATGCCTGCAGGAGCCGTGGGAGCAGCACAGAGGAGCAAAGTAGCGGCCGCTGCCTGGGAATCTGCAGCCTGTCCACCGGGGACACCTTGACACGGCTCCAGCCACGCTGCCACGGGACAGCCGAGTCCTGTGCTGTGGCTCCTGAGTAAACCAGGGATGGACTGATGGATGGATCGATTGATTTCTAATAAGAAATCATCTCATGCTTGAACGTCGAGCACAAAAAAAATCAAATTTGTTCCAGACAAGGGAAACAAGGCTATAGGCCAGATTCAACCCAAAGGCAGCCAGGTGGTCCTCCCTGCCCCTGAGAGATTGTTCCGGTCCAGCGGGCCTCCTCGCCGCGCCCTGGGGACTTTGGATTGCATCCTTCGTTCCCAGGATGTTCATTTCTCGGCTCAGAGCCCTGACCGCAGAGAGCCGGGCGTCATGAGCAGCGTAGTTGCTCAGAGAACAGCCTTTCCGGGTCAAATCCACACGGACTGATCTCCATGCCCTGGCCCTCTGTCTGCCTGTGCCACTGGTCAGTGCAAAGCCCGCCTCAGTTGGTCTCTCTGTCTCTCGTGCGTCAGGGCTCATCCGCTTTGGTGGCTGTGCTGCCTTCGTGGGCCCCAAGTCAGGGCGTCTGGCTCCTTTGGCAGCAGAGTCCCTTCCTTCCTGTAGCCCAGGCTGAAAGTGGGTCCCCCTGAGCTGCTCCAACCACTTCCTGTGTCACGGCATTAAACTTCCCTCCCCACCCCCGGAAAACTAGCTAGTAGGGATGATTGTTTAGAGACTTAACATGTAATAGCTTATTGGTGACATTCATAAAATTTCCAATTCATAATTCATTAAATAATGAGTAGTCGTTTATTGAACACGTACTATGTGCCAGGCATGGCGCTTACTTAATTCATTATTCACGTTTTATGGAGGAGATGGCTAACACTTGTCAGCGTGGAATTACCTGCCCAGGAGTTTAACCCAGGCCTGCCAGACTGGAAGACCCGTGTCCTTTCTGACCAGTCTGCACTGTATCTCCGCTTAACAGCCGATTCTGCGGCCACGTACGGTTGACTCTGCACCTGGTTCGAATCTCACTGGTCTCTTGGTTGTCTCTACGCTCAGCAATAGTCATGCTGCGGAAATATAGGTTAACCTTGAATCATCTCAATAACTTCACTTTATTTTCTTAAAATAATTTCACTTTCAATTTGCAAATATCGAGAGTCCGAGAGGTAGCGTGCCAGGCAGCGGCTGCAAGTCAGCTGTGGAAGAAGGTCCCATCCCCACTCCCAGGCGCCTGGCCCGGGCCCCACCGGCTCCCGCCTGGGCAGGTGGGGAGGGTGGCGATGTTGCTGGCCTCTGTGCACGTGCCGATGAGAACGAGACGAGGCAGAGCCACAGAGGCTCAGGGCAGGCAGGTGCGAGGTGCGGGTTCAGCACGCCCCCAAACCCTGTGCTGGAGCTGAGTCCTGCGCTTGCTGGAACCTCAGGTGGGGTGAGACGGGCGCGGCCTGTCAAAGCCTGGCGAGGCCTTGTCTGGGGGTCCTCCAAAGTGGTTCTCCTAACGGATGCAGAGGCGTCAGGTGCCCCGTGTAGTAGAAGACGACAAAGGCGGCGCACGCGTGCTGGGAGAGTGGATGGCGGTTCTGGGGACTCCATAGCTGATGGTCACGACAACTTCTGGCGAGGTGGAAACGCCATCCTTGAGAATTGCACTTCACAGAAGCTTCGAACGTGAGGAAAAAAAAGATGGTGGCAAATCACACATTTGACAAGGGTCTAGAATGCAGAATTCATAAAGAGCTCTTGGGCCGGGCGAGGTGGCTCACACCTGTAATCCTACCACTCTGGAGGGCCGAGGTGGGAGGATCCCTTGAGGTCAGGAGTTTGAAGCCAGCCTGGGCAAGAGCGAGATCCTGTCTCTACTGAAAATAGAAAGCATATAGCCGGGTGTGATAGCACTCGCCTGTCGTCCTAGCTACTCGGGAGGCTGAGGCAGGAGGATTGCTTGAACCCAGGAGTTTGAGGCTGCAGGGAGCTGGGATCACGCCACTGTACTTCAGCATGGGTGACAGAGTGAGACCCTGTCTCTAAAAAAAAAACAAAAAAAAAAAAACAATGCTTCCACACAATACTGAATAACATGAGACTGTCTATAAGGCTCAATTGAAAAGTCTAATACAAAACCGTAAGTACCGTACATATTACATGTAATGAATATAATGTGTGCATGTGGTAAGCAGCAACACTACACCTTGGCCCCTCCTAGAATCGTGGCCCAAACATGGCAAAGGCCGTCTATGATTGCAGGACTTGGGAAGGGTTCTGCTTTTTCTCACAGTTTTCTCTATTTTCTGCAACGAACATGTAGTCTTTCTCCCTCCAAAGAACTTAAAGTTGCTTTTAAAATGAAGAAAACACTTGTCATGGTAAATATTTAACGAAAACACGGTATTCAAAAGAGAAAATGGACTCATTCATTTCGAGGGTAATTGACTTTTTAAAAATTTATATATCACATCAAAATCGGTTGGAAATAGAGACACCAAAATGTCGCAGGGACAGCCGTGGGGGGCGGTGGCGATTGTGAAGCCCTTTATGTTTCCCCTTGTTTCCCAAACTTGCAAAAGTGTGGAAAGGTTCTCTCGAAGCAAAGCAGAGGGAGAAGAGTTTGCCCAGGGAGGGGGGCCCGCGGAGCCTCCCAGGCGGGCTGGGCGCTGGGAACCGGCACTGGCCGGGCCCACAGGCGTGCAGACCACCAGGGCCCCAGCTCTACGGGGCCCTCCTGCCAGCCCTGCCCAAAGCCCCTTTCTCGATGGCTGGGAAGGGGCTACTCCAGATTCAGATGAGGCCCGTGGAGCTGGAAACAGGTGGAGGCAAAAACCTTAGCCCAGGGCCCCCCATGGCCCCCTCTCCAAGGCCGCCGAGTGCAAACGGTGGTCGTTGGAAAGAACCTCTTCCAGCGACCTGCCCGTGACCTGCCCGCAGAATCCAGAGCGTGGCTCCCCCTCGCTCTGCCAGCTCAGGCTGTGGGGAAGCCACCCACGCCGCCCCGAGAGCCCTGAGCTTGGTGCCTGGCACCATGCTCGCCCTGGGGGCCAGCGCCCTGCCGGCGGCTCGGGTAACCGTGTGGTCTCCCCACAGCCTGCGGCGGGATGGACAGCGTGCCCCTCATCTGTGACTACGGCTCAGGCTTCAGCAAGGTGGGGTTTGCAGGAATGGACGGCCCGGCGGGCGTGTTCCCAACTGTCATCGGGCTACTTCGGCATGATGTGAGTGACCTGGGGGGGGGGCTCCTTGGGTGCTGCTCAGCCCCTCCCCCACCACTGGGCGGGTCACAGGGCTGGCCATGGGAGCGGGTGGCCGGTGTGAGCGTGCATCGGGGTCAGGGGGCGTCTGGCTTGGCGACACACAGGTGGCCAGGCCCGCCCAGGGGGTCTGGGTGCGAGGAGGGGTGGGCCAAGGACTCTGCGTTTCTAGCCACTCTCGGGTGTGCCCCTCTGAGACGCACAGACCACTGACTCAGCTGGAGCAGGCCGCTACGCAGGTCCGTAAGTGGACCAGCTGTCAATAATAAATCACACTGCCCATCGATGACCTTTGCTCCTCCCACTTTTTGGAGAGGCGTGGACACAGAGAGGTAGAAGCCCGCCTTTCAGATAACAGAACCCATTAGAACTAAGTGGCGACTGACACTCTGCCTCTGTGACTCGAAGACAACAGGGCGGGCGGGGACTGGGGCACCTGCCTGGCCCAAGAGGGCAGGCTCTGGCATGCGGGCGAGTGGACCCAGTGTGGCCGGATCTTCCTATTTTTCAAGAGAATTTAGAAATCCAGATTGTTTTTATTGTGGCAAAATGCACATAACATAAAGTTGACCATCTTAACCACTGTTGGGTGCACAGTTCAGTGGCGTTAAGTATATTCATGTTGTTGTGTAACCGTCAGCACCATCCAGAACATTCCATCTTCCCAAACCGAAGCTCTGCCTCTATCAGACGCTAGCTCCCCACCCCCTTCCCCAGCCCCTGGCAACACCCTCGCAGAGTAATCGTAGCGGGACAAGTTAGCCCTCCAGGGAGGTGCTGTGGCCCCCTTCCCCCGGAATAGGAGCACCAGCTCCGAGCGGTAACTCCCCCAATCTGCCCAGGGGGCCAGAGCTCACAGCCCACGCTACAGATCATGGAACCCCTCCTGGGAAGTCACATTCATCTGTGACAGGGAGCAGCGTGGTGACATTGGGGGATCTCCACGTCACCGGATCCCGCGGTCATCACTCCTGGGCTTTGAAGAACTCGGAGCAAATTACCGGCACGTTTCTAATGACCCAGGTTAAACTGCCATCCGTACCTGAGGCCTGACACCCAGGCCTGTGACAGAAGGTGACAATCCCTGTCTCCCTAAGTGGATAAACTGCACAAGGATCTTTGGAAGCCAGCCCATTTCTTCCTCGCTGTCCGAGTGGCAGGGACTGCAGCTGGGACGGCCCTAGCGGGTGCCTGCGCCCAGACTGGCTGGCCAGCACGTTGCTTGGAGATCCCAGGGCTCGGTGGTCAAGAGCTGGGGCTATTGGGCCAGGGAGACGCAGGTTCCAATATCAGCGCTGCCACTTAGACGCGCGTGGCTCTGGGCAAGCGTGCCCTCATGGCAAAGGTGTCTTCTTTTGCATGATGGGACTAACCAAAGTATGCATCTCCTAGGTCTGGCTGGAAGGTTAAATGAGATGGCAACTGTATGTTTAGAACAGTTTCCGGCCCAAACGGAGTGTTTAACGGTGATGAAAATGATGACAGTGATGGATACGTTAATTTCCTGTGGCTGCCGTAGGAAGACAAACCAGGTGGCCTATAACAACAGAAATGCATCCCCTCACGGTGCTGGAGACTAGAAGTGCAGGTGTCAGCAGGTCCCCGCTCCCTCCGAAGGATCCTTCCTGCCTCTTCCAGCTCCCGGGACCTCAGTCCTTCCTTGGCGGCCTCCGTCTTCACGTGACCCTCTCTTTTCCTTCTCTCTCTAATCTCCCCCTTATAAGGACACCTGCCTTGAATTTAGGCCCACCTGGGTAAGCCAAGATGCTCTCATCTAAAGAGTCCTAACTTGATCACGCGTTCCAAGACCGATTATCCAAATAGAGTCCAGGCGGGCACAGCCTTTGGGCGGCCACCGCCCAGCCACTGCAGTCACACGAGGGCCTCCGTCTCAGCTCCCCCCTGCCCCCAGGGCCTGTGTCTGCCCGGAGCACGAGTTCGCTTAGGGAGGGTGCGTGGAGGGGCCTTTGCTGAGGGTGACGCTCTCCCCTCTCTCACAGTCCAGCCCGCACGGGCCTGGGCCAGCAGAGGGGCCAGGCCATTCTCAGGAAGGAGCTCAGTGCTGCCACTGGGCACAGAGACCAAGACTCGGGCTGTAAGGCACGGAGCACGGAGCACTGTGGAACTTGCTCCCGGCCCCGCCCTGGGCCCGCCAAGCAGTGGTCTCTGGCACGGGGGCGGGGGGGGTGGGGGGCAGCAGCAAGCTGGAGTGGAGCGAGCTTTCCGGGTCATTTTGACGCATCCAGTTCACGCCAATGATGAATCAGCGCCTGTCACTGCGGCTCTGGGGCCCACGCCCGAGGCCACTTTGCAGGGGAGGAAGGAGGCTGAGGCCCCCAGAGGAGGCGGGACACCTGCAGAGGGGGCAGCTAGGGAAGCCAGCGCTCACAACTTCGGCCCCTGAGTCCCGCCTCGGGTGGCTTCTGGGTCGCTCTGCAAACTCTTTCTGTTAGAGACCCGAGTGCACCGGCAGGCCCTCCACCGGCTCTGGGGCCCCTCGGAGCCCCTTGGTCTACAGTCCGCCCCCCACCCATGGGTCCCCACCCCAGCAGGGGGCTGCTGCCTGCGGTTCTACTCTCTGGAGTGCCTCAGCCCGCCTTGCGCCTTGCACGCCCTTTCAAACTCCCAGCCCTGCGATCAACTCCCTGCATTCAATCCCTCTGTCGAAATGTGGCATCTCTTTTCCTGATGGCTACGGGCATTGGTTGCGATGTCAAAACTTAATATGGGTCGTGCTACGAAAACATTCCATAGCCCCAGGGGGAAAGAAAAGACACACGTTAACTGTACCCAGAGTGGCCCACAGGAAGCAGAGCAGGTCACCTACACGGTGAAACACAAGAAAAATCAAATTCCTCACCAGAATAAAATGAGTGACCAAGATGAAGTATAAGAACAGCAGACCGACTAGCTGAACCACACAGATTGGGGCTGTCGGTTGGGTTTGGTTTTTCCATGAGACACTCGCCTGCCAGCCCCGTGGGCTTAGGGACTGGGCCCTGGGAGGCTGGCAGTAAGTTCCTGTGTCTGAGAGAGGTCCCGTTTCCTTCCAGACCTAAGCTCCACGGCCCCCGCCCAAGTGCTCCGTGCAGCGCCCTTCACTTCCCAAGTCCCTGAGCCCCAGGCATGGGGACCCAGGCTGTCCCTCGGGGCTCCTCCCACCCCCCGTCCAGGGCTTCAGTCCAGCAGCCAGGATGGCCGAGAGACCCTGAGTCCCTCGGCCCCTTCTCACGGAGCACAGCCACTCTGACCCGCCGGCCCCCGGCGACGGGACACCACGCCGAGAACCGTCTGCCTCACTGTTTCAGGCAGCGACTTCAAACCAGGACGGCTTTGCTCCCTCCACAGCCCCGCAATTGTCCTTTGTCCCCCAGCCGCTCACATTCAGATTTGGGTGGCCGAGAAACGCCAGGGGCGGCGGCAGCAGCGACAGTCCTTCACGTCGCTGTGTCCTCGAGTTTACGGAATGTGTCCCCGTCAGTCGGCTCATTTCACGTGATCCCCAACAGCGCCGCGGCCAGGGGCGAGGCCACCGTCCCGTTTGACAGAGAAGGGGGCGCAGGCGCAGGGAGGGCCGGCAACCGCCCGAGCTCCAACAGCTTGTGCTTCTCGCCCCAAGTCCAATTCTCTTCTGCCGAAAAAGACACTCTGCTAAGGCAGGGAAGGTCGCGGGGTGCCGGGGCCACCTCCAGAGCCGGCCCTGGTCTGGCCGCACAGCTTGTCCCTGCACCTGGCACCCTGCGAGTGCCTCCCTAGACCGCGCGGTGGCCGGGGACAGCCCCACCCGGGGACAGCCCCACCCGCCCCTCGCTCCTGCACCCAGGCTCGAGATTGGACGGTAGCCTGGCAGCTCTGCTGGCCGCGTCCGGCCCTTCCCTAACAACACCCTCGGGCCTTCGTCCTGGCTGGCGCCTGTGTCCCGGGGGCCCCGAGTGACACCGAGCCAACTGGAATGAACAGATTAATCTGCCATGGAGGCAGCCGGGTGTATCTTCCTAGAAGCTAGCGGCACCCGACCGCACTGCAGACCCTTTCCCTGTCGCTCCTCCCCAGCAGATGTGGAGGACGGCGCCTCTCTCCACACCTCTCCTTCCTCCACAGCCTCTCCCGCCCCTCAGTTTCCCCGTCCGCGCAGTGGGCGAGAGGGGTGTCCTAGCAGTGAGGCCTCAGGTGACGTGCTGACGCCTCTTATGGCCAACTGTGAAATTGCCCACAGGGTTCCAGGCGGTCGTGGGTGCCCACGCGGTGACGGGAGCCTCCCCACGGCCACCGCGGCCACCGCAGCCCGCCAGCCACACTCACTGTGCGCCCACGGACGAAGCCACGTGTAGGCGGGTCCGGACCCCCCCTCCCTGCTGCTCCTAAGAGCGGACCTGTCCCGGCCTGTGTTTTCCAGAAGGTGCTGGTGGGTGTGGAGAAGGAGGACTGCTTCATCGGGGACGAGGTCCAGAAGACACGAGAGAAGGTCAACCTGCTATACCCCATGTCTGGGGCCACCGTCACCAACTGGGACCACCTGGAAAAGGTGGGCCTGGCGTCTGCGGGAGGGACCCGCTCCTACGAGGCGGGTGTGATCGTCCCTCCCACAGGCCCTGTCCTGGGGGTCAGGGGGTGACGGTTAAGGAGTCCTCAGTCCCAAGTAGTCAGCAGTGACACACTTGGGCCTCTGTCACTAACGCAAGGCTCTGACAAGGCCTGTGTGCACGCGGGCAGGCCGTGTGCTGCCTGGAGGGTGCCCATGTGAGTTACCATGGCCTCGTCCGGGGCTGCAGTGACAGGGACCGCAGGCTGGCAGCGCACACAGCAGCCTCCGTCTTCGGACGGCACCTCTGTGCACACTCCCCGCTTGACGAGGACGCCGGTCACACTGGATTAGGACACACCCTGCCCCCACTCCTGCCGGGGTCCCGCCCCCCTCCCCCCCCCGTCTGGGGGTCATGTCAGTCCCTCCATCAGACCACGAGGGACTCTGAAAACCACTGGGCCCGTCTCCACCGGCCCCACTTCCCAGCTCCAGGCTGGAGCACAATCGGAGGTCACCTGTCTTGCCCAAAGTCACACTCTGCCTCCCCAGCGGCCTCCTCAGGTCAGGGCTTCCCTAGCTGTGACTCGGGCTGCAAATGCTGTTCATAATATTGCCTTGTCAAATAAGTGGCATAACGTAAATAAATAAGATAAAACCCTGCCCTTTGTAGAAGGCCCTGGTCCCCGGGGATGCTCACCTGCGTCCCTGTCTCCCCCCAGATCTGGCATCACTCCTTCTACGAGGTGCTGCGTGTCGCCCCGGAGCAGCACCCTGTGCTGGTGACGGAGCCGCCGCTAAACACAACGTCCAACAAAGAGAAGATGACGCAGGTACGGGGAGGTGGGGCCGGGGATGGGGGGTCGGCTTCTGGTCTACCCGAGTGTCGGTGTTGGAGCTGCCTCGGGCCGACCTTCTCTCTGCTCAGCAAGGCGAAGATGAAGATGAGAGGCAACGCCAAGGATGACCGTGCTGCTGCTGGGGGCTCGCCGGGGGCCGGGCACTGGCCGGGCATTGATGCGAATGATCCCACTTAGGCCCACGACCCGGCTCCCTCGGGCAGGGTGACTATTGGCCCCTCTGTGCAGGGCAGGGGTTGGAGCTTACGTGGTTTGGCTGAGGTCACAGGGCGAGCCCCCGGTAGACTCGCCTAGCCCCCCGTGGTCTGGCTCTGTGGCTCTGCTCTCAGCCGCCATCCTCCATGGGGGTCTGATTCTGATTTAAAACTCCCGAGTCTCTTCTCTGAGGCTGGCCCTGGGCCCGCCCGCCAGGAGGGAGGTGGGGCGTGTGTGACTGGGCTGCCCTGGATCGAACCGGATGGCAGAGCCCATCCAGACAGGTGGAGAAAGGAGCTTTCGGGGTCCTCCTTGGGGCTGGAGTGGCGGCCCGGAGTGGGGGGTGTGTGCTTCGGGAGCCGCCGCTGGCCACCCACGTTCCCATTACATCATTAGGCTGTTCCTAATGAGGACGCCGATGAGCTAATTAAGTAGGCAGCAAGGTTCGGCCACCTGGCCCAGAGCCCCTGGGGCTCAGCAGTGTGTCCTGCAGTGAGCAGTGACCCCGGGGGCGGGCCCAGGGCTCAGGGCACCACCTGCTCCCAGGAGAGGCCCGCGCCATGGCCCAGAAACCCCAGCCCCGTCCCCCACAGCCAGGTGCAAGATCCCACCTGCGGCGGCCTGTGCACCTGGATCCCAAGGCAGACAGCCTTGAGGAAGGAGGGGCTTCTGCAGGCAAAGGGGACAGCCGGCTACCGGCGCCGTGCAGAAGGAAGGCCACCTCGCAGCAGGAACAGGGGCATTCTCGCACCTGTGGCCCTGCCTTGACCTCCCCATCCTGCATGCCCTCCCAGCAGGCCTCCCTTCCCTGGCCAACCACCAGGGCTCCCCCAGGACCTCGAGCGGACTGAGGGGTGCAGGGCCGGTTTCCTCCCTGTAGTCAGTCTGCATCACAGCAGGGTTGGGGGGCCGTGCTCCAGGAGACGCCACTGCTGGGAGCGGCCCAAAGTACAGGGAAGGGCCTGGCCTGGCATTAGGACCCTGGAACCCCCAGCTCTGCCAGCACGTGTGACTTGGACAGATGACCTTTCCTTGCTGTGCCTCAGTTTCCTCAGTTACCCTGAGAAGGGTAACAACAGTACCTCCGTGGTGGTTGTGGAGAGGACAAAGTGTGTTAATCCCGGTAGTAGCAGGAATGCTTAGGGCACACAGAGCATCCAGCAAATGCAGTCACTTACAGTTCCCTGGCCTCAGTGTTCTCATCTTTAAAATGGGAGTTGGACCTCAGGAACCCTGAAGACCCCTCTGAGCCCTGTGACCTTCCAGCCCTGCCCGTAGCAGGCCAGTGAAACCGAGGCTGGTTCTTGTCTTTGTGTTTTTTGAGGGGAGGGACCTCCGGTTCAATCACAAAACCTGCCCTCCCACCTAGAGGTCATGCCCCCTCCTCCACTGGGACCCAAATTCCAGGGGCACGGAGAGAGGCGCAGACTCAGAGGTGCTGCGACGTGGGCCGCCCGCCCACGCTGTCTGGCAGTGCTTTGTGCCCCTGGAGCCTCCCACGCCTCACCTGCGCGTCCGTCCACCTGTGCACACACGCCGTGGGGTTCCCAGCGCGGGGATCTTGCAAGCGCAGCTACCATGAATAAGCGTGAGCTAGTCTTAGTATGGACCTGCGTTTCCATTTCTCCGGGTAAAGACCCAAGCCCACCTGAATGCCACCCCCTGGAAACAGGCTAGCAATGCGTGTTATGAGCAGCGTGCGCAGTGGTGTAACCAGCCATGTGTAATGTTGTTTTGTAAGAACGCTGTCGTGGCCCAGTTCTCAGGCCCTGGTTGGGGCCGGTCAGTCCTCTTCCTGGGCAGCTGGTTAAGCCCACACTCCACCGTGCGCCTGCCCTAATCATCCTGGGGCCAGGTACCGGACAACCAAGGGCACAGCCTCTGTGCCCAGGAGCCCATAAAATGATTCAGGCGAGACAGTCCACAGGGAGCCCCCCAAACCAACCCGACCCACCCCTGCTGGCCACACCCGAGCTGCCCAACTCAGTTCCCGGAGCAAACCCCTGAGCGGCGCTGCCCACAGCCTCCTTGTCCAGAGCTGCACACAACAGGCCTGCCCTTTACCTGTCCCGGTGACAGCGTGTTCGGTCCACCGTCAAAAGAACCTGCAAGTCCTGCAGAACGCAGCCCCCCCATCTTGCAGGCTGGTCACTCACTTCCCTGGCCAGCTGTAGGGACTCACTGCATGCCTGGAGGCTGCCAGCCCGTGTTCTCACCCCAGCTCTGCCACCTGCTCGCATTCCTGTCCCCTGGTCTCCTGTGTGGACAAAACAGCACAACCCCAGGAGGGTCCACCATGGACAGGAAAGCCAGGTTGTGTCTCACTTGTTCACTGCTCTGCCCTGGTATACAGTTGGCATCCAGTAGATACTTCTTCTTCTTCTTCTTCTTCTTTTTTCTTTTTATCTATTTGTTCATTTAATATTTTTTAATTTATTTTCTTGCTCTGTTGCCCAGGCTGGAGTACAGTGGTGCAATCATAGCTCACTGAGGCCTTGAACTCCTGGGCTCAAGCGATCCTCCTGCCTCAGCCTCCTGAGTAGCTGGGACTACAGGCACGAGCCACTACACGGAGCTAATTTTCAAAATTTTTTTGTAGAGATGGGGTCTTACTATGTTGCCCGGGCTTGTCTTGAACTCCTGGTCTCAAGTGATCCTCCCACGTCAGCCTCCCAAAGTGCTGGGATCACAGGCGTGAGCCACCGCACCTGGCCCAGTAGATATTTCTTGAGCAAAGGAGGTCTCTGGCATGCAGCTAACACACGACCAAGTTATGTCTGTTATTGTTGTGTCTGTTATTTTGGAACAAGGACGTCATCCCGAGTCAAAACGTCGGACTTCTGTTGAGTCTCCTTGCCACCACGAGGGCAGAAAGGAACGCGCATGCAGCGAGGAGAACAAAACGTCCGCGAGGCCGTGTCATGCCCTAAGCTAATCCAAGTGTCCCCGCAGTCCCAGGAGGTAGCTGGGAAGGGTGCGAGCCCATTTTAGAGACCGAGAAACTGAGAGCGTCCCGGAGCCGGTTAGGGCAGAGCTGGCACGAGGAGGGCCATGCTTCTGAGCCCCGGGGTCTGGATCTCTCTGGGGCGGGTGGGCCTCTGGTTGCCTGGAGGATTAAGGAGCATCCCACCCCTCCTCTGTCTGCCGGCCTGGCCAGCAGGGATCGCTGATGTTTCTCCGTAGATCCTGTTCGAGACCTTCAACATACCCGCCCTGTACATAGCCAACCAAGCAGTCCTTTCTTTGTACGCCTCCGGCCAGACCTCCGGTGAGTGGCCCCATGCAGCCCTGCTCTTTCCAGCCCACCCGCCCCGCCCCTCCCGCTGCCTGGTGACACCCCTCTATGGTAGGAGCCCACTCCCTGTCCCCACCGAGGGGTCATAACAGGAGAGAAAGGACCACAGAACCCACACGATCCAGCTCCTTCCTCACCTGCTTCCCTTTTTACTCCTCTGGGTTAAACAGCTCACTCTCAGACGTTAAAGATTTGTCAAACTCATTTTTTTCTTTTCCTTTTTTTTTTTTTTTTTTTTGAGACAGAGTCTCCCTTTGTTGCCCAGGCTAGAGTGAGTGCCGTGGCTCACAGCAACCTCAAACTCCTGGGCTCAAGCCATCCTCCTGCCTCAGCCTCCCAGGTAGCTGGGACTACAGGCATGCGCCACCATGCCCGGCTAATTTTTTTCTATGTATATTAGTTGGCCAATTAATTTCTTTCTATTTATAGTAGAGACAGGGTCTCGCTCTTGCTCAGGCTGGTTTCGAACTCCTGACCTCGAGCTATCCGCCCGCCTTGGCCTCCCAGAGTGCTAGGATTACAGGCGTGAGCCACCGCGCCCGGCCTCATTTTTTTCTTAACAGCTTTATCGAGGTGTAATTGACATACACTAAACTGCATGTGTTTAGGGTGCACAACCTGATAGTTTTGCACACAGATACGCTCATGAAACCTTCACCACAACCAAGATAATGAACATAACCACCACCCCTAAAAGTTCCCCACACTCTGCCCCACCAGCCTGTCCCCAGATAGCCACTGCTCTGTCCCTACAGATGAGTGTGCATTTGCTAGAATTCTGCATAAGTAGAATCATAAAGTATGTACTCTTTCCGTGTACTCTTTTTCACTCGGCATAGTTACGTGGAGATTCATCCGTGTTACTGTTTGAATCCATAGTTCATTTTTTATTGCTGAGTAGTATTCCACTATGCGAATGCATCCTGTTTTGCTTATTCACCCACATGGGGTCTATTATAAACAACCGACTGGGAAAATTCGTGTACAGTACAAGTCTTCATATAGATAGATGACTTTATTTTGGGGGGGGTAAATACCTAGAAATGACGGGGTCATAATGATCAGTGTACATTTAACTTTTAAAAAATCTGGCAAACTAGCTGCCGAAGTGGTTACACCATTTTGCATGCCCACCAGCCACGTGGGAGGGTCCGGTTCCTCCACATATTTGCCAACACTTGGCGTGGTCGGTCTTTTAATTTTAGCCATTCTAACAGGTGCACGTTGTACCTCATTGTGATTTGGGTTCGCACTCCCCTAAGAACCAGTGATGCTGAACATTTTTCATGTGTGTGTGTTTGCCATTCTTAGACCTGCTACAGTGAAGTACTTGTTCAAATGTTTTGCCCAATTTTTTAAGGAGTTGTTCATCTTTGTGTTCTGAGGATGCTTTTTATGTCCTGGGCACAAGTGTTTCATCAGGTGTATGTTTCGCAGACATTTGCTCCCTGTCTGTGGCCTCCGTTTTCACTCCCCTCACAGTGTGTTTTGTGGAGCCGAAGCTTGTAATTCCCGTGAAGTCCCATTTACCAATTTGGTTTTTGTGTGTGTGAATCATGCTTTTGGCATCACATTTAAGAAATATATGCCGACCCAAAAGGCTTTGTGCTATATTTTCTTCTAGGAGTTTTATAGATTTTAATTTTATATTCAGTTCTATGATCCATTTTGAATAAATTTTTGTGTATGCAATAAAGTATAAATGAAGTATGTGTGTGGGAGGGGGCAAGGGGAAAATATCCTATTGTTCCCACACTATTTATTGAAGAGACTACCTGTGCTTCATTGAATTGCCTTTGCACATTTTTGAAAATCAGTTGTCCATTTGAGTAGGTGTATGTATTTCTGTGCTCACTATCCTGTTGCGTTAATCTATTTGTCTGATCTATTTGCCTAATCCATCTAATCTATTTGTCTATAGGTTGATGTCACATTGTCTTAATTATTGAAGCTTTATAAAAAGTCTTGAAGTAATATAATGTTAATGCTACCACCACTTCAGTCTCCTGTTTCTGAAAATGTTTTGGCCATTCTAGGTCCTTTGCATTTCCATATGAATGGTAAAATCAGTCTGTCAATTCCTTTAAAAAAAAAAAAACTTCTTTAGGTTTTGATTGAAATTGTTTTGAATGTATAGATCAATTTGGTGAGAACTGACATCTTGAAAATACTTAGTCTTGATCCAATGAATATGGTATATCTGTTAGGTCTTCCTTTATTTTCCTTGGTAATGTTTTATAGTTTGTAGTGCACTGGTCTAGCATCTCTCTTTTTGTCAGATTTCTCTCTAAGTGTTTCCTACATTTTGATGCTATTGTAAGTAGTATTTTTATTTCAATTTCTGATTGTTCATTGCTATCATAGAAATATAATTGATTTTTTGTATATTGATAGCACTCCAACTAAACTCATTTATCAGTGCTAGTAGAATTTTTGTAGATTTCATGCCGTTTACTACTTAGGCAATTGTATTTTTTATAAATAAAGAAAATTTTTCTTCATTATTTCCAAATGGGGTGCTTTTCATTGTTTTTCCTTGCCCGGTTGCACTGGCTGGACCCCTCCTTAGCATGGCAGTGAGAAGAGGAGGTGAGCACAGACATTTTTGTCTTGTTCCTGATCTTAGAGGGAGATCATTCGGTCTTCAGCATTAGCATTAGGTGCTACGGTTGCTGTAGGTTTTTCACAGATGCCCCTTATCAATTTGAAGAGGTTATCTTGTATTCTTAGTTTGCTGAGAATGGTTTTTTTTTTTTTTTTAATCAGGAATGTTGGATTTTGTCAAATACATTTTCCGCATCTGTTGATACGATCACATGGATTGTCTTTTACTTCTTTAATATGGTGAATTACATAGAGTGGTACAGCAACCTTGCATTCTGGAGCAAAACCCACTTGTTCATCATGTATTATCCTTTTCGTATGTCGTCGGATCCACTTTGCTAAAATTCTGTTTGGAGTTTCGTGTCTGCGTTGGTGAGCGGTCATGGCCTACCGTTTCCTTTTCTCGTAGCGTCCCATCTCTCAGGGATGGCTAAGCGTTGTTGCCTCATGTCCCTTATCTTGAAGGTAGACGTCGTCCTCTCTTTCACTTGTTTCAGGTGGGAGGGGACGCTCCCCATTGTGCAGCTCAGCCGGAAGCGGAGTCCTCCTGGGGCACAGGGGGCCCTCGTTTAGACTCACGGTTCTGGCTTGTTAGACGTCAACAGGTGAAGGGCGCCAACCACCCGGACTCCTGCTCAGTCCGGACGGCTCCAGAGGCTCCTGTGTCACACAAAGTGCGGCCCTGCATTCCCATCACGCTGCATCCTTGGGACTGGCGCGAAGAGAGCTAGTTCGGCTTGCCAGCTAGAACGCGCACCTGCTCCACTGCACGCACACTCTCCAGACACTCGGTGCCTGCCCGGGAACCCCAGTGTCCACATCCACGCACAGAGTTCTTTAGGGAAAAAGTGTTAAGATCGTGAGATTCTTCTTCTTTTACTTCTCTGGCAACTACTGCTAATTCCTGCATGTCCTGGTTTAATAAGAAAGCCTGCAGGCTCCTCTCCAAAAGAGTCGGCCCTTTCTTCTAGCCTAGCACACTCCCCTCGGAGGAGGAAACTCACTCCTGAGACCCTCCGCCTTCTCCTCCAAGTATTGCCCCCTCCACCTGCTCTTCTTGCAGACCCAGTGCTCTGTAAGGGATGCCATTCACCCTGCGCTGTGATGCCAGCGTGTTCTCTTATCTAGGAACAACTATTGAATCTGGAGAAGGAGTTACGTACTCCGTGCCCATCGTTGATGGCTGTCCTTTGCACCAGTCGATCTTCCAGGTGGATGTGGCCGGCCAAGACCTAACCTTATACCTCTGCAAACTCTTGGCGGACAATGGGCACCTTTTGGTGGGCACAGGTAGGCAATTGCCATTCTTGCCCAGGTACACTAATCCCTGGGGCACAATATCCTTCTTTGCTTGTTCAACTTACAGCCGTCAGTGTGGAAAGCTGAGGCTACTTGACTTTTATCCAAGTTCTAAAAGCAACCTTATCTATATAGAGGGACATTTCATGGGCTGTTGACAAGGGCAATGATGATGATGTTGATGGTGGTGGTGATGGTGATGACTATAATGATGATGGTGGTGATGGTGATGATGGTGATGGTGATGGTGATGATAGTGATGGTGGTGATGGTGATGACTATAATGATGGTGATGATGGTGATGGTGATTATGGTGATGGTGATGATAGTGATGGTGGTGATGGTGATGATGGTGATAGTGGTGATGGTGGTGATGGTAGTGATGGTAATGATGGTGATGATAGTGATGATGATGGTGGTGATGATAGTGATGATAATGGTGGTGATGGTGGTGATGGTGGTGATGGTGGTGATGATGGTGATGGTGGTGATGGTGGTGATGGTGATGGTGGTAGTGATGGTGGTGATGGTGATGATGGTGATGATGATGGTGGTGATGATAGTGATGATGATGGTGGTGATGATGGTGATGGTGGTGATGGTGATGGTGGTAGTGATGGTGGTGATGGTGATGATGGTGATGATGATGGTGGTGATGATAGTGATGATGATGGTGGTGATGGTGATGATGGTGATGATGATGGTGGTGATGATAGTGATGATGATGGTGGTGATGGTGGTGATGGTGATGATGGTGATGATGATGGTGGTGATGATAGTGATGATGATGGTGGTGATGGTGATGATGGTGATGATGATGGTGGTGATGATAGTGATGATGATGGTGGTGATGGTAATGATGGCGATGATGATGATGATGATGATGATGGTGATGACGATGAAGAGCTAAGCTTTATAGAGAACTTACCCTATTCGAGGTATTGGGCCAAGTAAACATTTCCCATATATTCTATCATTTCTTCTTGATATAATCCTAATAGAAGAAACAGTCATTTCCATCGCAAGAAGCGGCTTAGAAAGGTGAGGACATCTGGCCGACATCCCAGAAGCAGTAGGTTTAGCAGCTGGGATGTGAACTCAAGGGCACCAGATGAGGCGATGCCTGTCCCACTTCTCACCCAGTTCCTGGACTAGACCCCAGCCTGTGTAACCTGCGGGGCTCCCACTCCCAACAAGCCCAGGATTCTGTGTTGGCTGTTTGGTCTTCCCAGGCAAGAGGTCTGTGTCAAAAACAAGCAAAATGGGGACCCTAAAGAATAACAGGTATTAGAGGAAAGGTGAGGGTTGACCGGGACAAGGTCAAAGCACATTATGGACACCTCACACTCAGCGAGATCTTTATGTGCCTTACCTTCTCTCATTCTTACAACAGGCCCGTGAGTGAGAATTAATCTCATTATTGTAGAGGAGGAAGGGGAAGTGTAAGAGGATAATGTAGTTGCCTAAAGCCAGGAATTTGGTAAATGGCAGAGATGGGATTTGAACCCATATTTGTCTCACCAAAGTCCCAGCTACGTGAAAAAAGGAAAACTTTCAGGGAATGTAGCATCCCAGAGCCAGGGAGAGGGAAGGGAGTGATTAACAGCCTCCATTGCTGGAGGGAAAGGGGTCAGGAAAGGACTAAAGAGTGTCCCCAGGGTCTTGAAACTTGGGGGACAGAGCAGCCCCAGGCGAGCGCAGGTGAAGCGGAGCGAGCGAAGGTAGAAGCCAGACGTCGGTGGGCTGGAGAGCAGGTGGATTTCAGGTGAGCAGTGCCGGGAGTTCCCTGTGGTCCATGCTCAGAAACAGTGGCCGACAAAACCATAACACCGAAAGACACAGCTAGGTTTAAAACCTGTTGTCAGCCACCCAGAACGGGGAGGGGTAAAACCTTCCAGGGATTTCTAGGTGAGGTGCTGCGGGCAATTTCCTAGAGCAGCGGGCCGCTGTGAGCGGTCAGTGGGTGAGAGAGTTGAGTCTGACTGTCCAGCCCCTGAGACACACGCCACGTCCAGTAGCATCTCAGTTTACAAACGCTGAACCGTCCGAGCCCTCTCGTCTTAGTTCAGGACATCCCCATCCTACTGTTTTCTCCTGCAAACTGGGGCCTCCACGCCCGGCCCAGATCAAGAGAAACTGGACAATGGGACGAAATAGAAACAGCAGCTGCCACGGTGCCATCCCGTCCCGGCCGAGAACTCAGCTCTTTCCTACCGTGTCCCATTTGTCGCTTCTCCTGTGCTCTACAGGTGACCGGGAGTGGGTCCGGGACATGAAGGAGAACTGCTGCTACGTGGCCTTGGACTTCGACAAGGAGAAGATGAAGACCGACTCGCCTTCCCACCAACAGAAGTACCAGCTGCCCGACGGCCAGGAGATCACCCTGGGGCAGGAGCGCTTCCTCTGCCCCGAGGTGCTCTTCCAGACGGACCTCGTAGGTGAGTCCGCGGGAGGGGACAGAAATGAGCCCAGACGGGGCGGTGGAGCTGCTGCGAGGAAGAAGGGATAAGGGCTGCCAGGAGCGGATTCTGGTTTGAGCAGCAAATTTGAAATGGGCAGGCGCTCATTTCGAAAGCTCCTTTGATATCAGCCACTACTTACTAAGCACCTACTGTATGCCTGCTGCTTTTCTGACCACTGCAGGTAAGTGAGATCCTTGCATCCTTCCCCAAATCTTGTATTATCCCTTTTTACAAAGGAGAAAACTCACTGATGAGTAGTAAATCATTTTCAAATGTGATTAAGTCCCACACCAGACTGCTCGTCTCCCCAAACTCTCCTAAGGTATTGTTTGTACTCTGCCTACATGCAACATAATTTGAAATATAAAAATGAAGACAATTGAAACAGGAAAGTAACAACCCTAGATTGGGAAGGAGGCTTAAAAATGTGGCTGACCCAGAGATTTTTAAATGAAAGTTGAGTTGACTGAACTCTCTGGCAGAACAGGAACAATGACAGACCATAGAGCCCCTATGCATTGGGAAAATGACATCTGCTGGGAAGTCATGGAAAACCAGATATTGCCTGGAAACAAATTCTTAAAGTATAATACTTTGTCACATTCACAAGGGACAAAGGGGAATTCAGCCTGGGGAAGGAGCCATGTCCCCAGGATGAGGACCTGGTAAGCACATGGCACCTGTGCGAGTTAGCTGGGTGGGTTGTCGTTTTCCCCGTTAGACTGTGCAGGGGACGCCGTGGCCTTAAAAACCAGGCATGTGCACCAAAACTATCCAGGGGATGAATGGAGAAGTAACGGAAGTCCTTCGCTCAGCCAGCCCCAGATCCACGGCTCTCGAGGACATCCCTGCCGGCCGTCCCCAACGCCCCCCGTGGTTAGGTCACCGGGCAGGTTTTCCCCGGAGATGAGCACATGGAGGCACTGACAGGCGCCACCTCCCCTCCCGAAGCTCACAGCGTAGGACGGGAAACAACACGGCACACGCGTCTTTTCAGGGCTGTTCTTATTATACTTGAGTTGATCTGTGTGGTCAATTGACTCAAGGAAATGAATCAGGGTCGTTTTTCAAAGGCCACCTGAGCGAGGACGCTGCCTCTACAGAAATCTTTTCATAAAATAACTGACACCAAGGCATGAAACATTAATAATTGTCCGTAACATTGGAATACGGATTCTCTGGGGTGGGAGAGGAGAATTAATATTTATTTCTTTGGTCTCGAGAGGTCGAGTCCTGCAATGGGGCTGGCAGTCCACGCACTTACCGTGTTGACACGCCAGGGGCCTTGCAGTGCTGACGTTGTCCGCTGCCCCGCTGCACTCGGAGCCACCTGAGACCAGGGACTGGGGGGGGTCCCACCAGCCCAGCACCCTCAGGGGGCAGGAGGAGCCGGGGCACAGCCCACCTCTGGCCTCCAAAGCTCTTTCTCTCTCTGTCCATCCCCACAGGGAAAAACACCCTTGGCATCCACATGATGGCCTTCCGGAGTGTCAGCTCCTGCAAGCCCACCCTCTGGAAGGTCCTCTTCAATAACATGCTATTGTCTGGAGGGACTGGCTCCTGCTCCGGCCTGGGCTGCCGGATGCAGAGAGAACTATCTGGCCTGGTGTCGCCTGGGTTATCCGTGAAGGTAAGGTCCTGCCAACCCCTCCTCGGGGGGCTCCCGAGTGCATTCCACAGGTATTTCTAGAATGCCTCGGATGTGCTTGGCATGGTGCCTGGCGCTTGGGAAGCATCAATAAACAAAAGGATCAATAATCCTTGGGGCGCTGGTTCTAGCGGGGGGAGGAAGCAGTAAGCCGTACAGGTGAGCACGGCGTGGCGGTGAGGCCACGTGGGAGGGGGTGTGAGCCGTGGGGGGAGGCGAGGCCAGGGAGGGAGGGGGCAGGGTTGGGGTGCTCAGTGCAGGGCGCTCAGAGTGGGTCTTGTCCAGCAGGTGGCAGTGGGTACATACTTGGGGTGAGGGTGAGCGGGGTGGATGTCTGGGAGGCGCGTCCAGGCAGGGCAACAGCTGTTCGGGACCAGGGCCTTGCTTCCTGGAGGAAGGGCAAGGAAGGGCCGCTGGGGCAGCGTGAGCGAGGGCTTAGAAGCTGCGTGAGGTGGAGACCCCCGGAAGGTTTGGGCAGTGGAGGGACACGATGCAGGCGGGCCCTGGAGGACAGCTCAGGTTCCACGCGGAGCATGGCTGGCAGGAGGTTGGGACCGTCTGGATGTGGCTGGCTGGGGGCAGGAGGGACGGGGCCACCCCCACTCCCAGCTGAGCTCAGCAGCTGCCCCAGTCTCTTCTGGGTGACTAACAGTGTTTTGCCCCTCGGGGGGCCCGCACCAAGAGTTGTCCCCCACGTGCCTCCCCTTCTCTGGCCTGCTCTCCGCCTGCCTCTGCCACTGCTGGCTCTCCGGGGGCAGGAGCTGCACGGCGTCCCTTGTCCAGCCGGACCTGAATCCTTCCCGTCTCACCAGCTGGCCCTTGAGCTGGCTACAAGCTCCGTTGACCAACCTCGAGGTGCTCTGTGTGGTGATCTGCTGCTGCTGGCCGGGCAGGCCCCAGCCTCCTTGGCCTGTCGGCCACAGTCCTGCGCCGCCCTGTGCAGCCCACGTGGCCCAGGGCTTCTCTCCCTGTCTCTAGACCTGTCTTGGCCACTGTCATTGTCCTCATTGCCATTGTCTCCTCTGCTTCTGCCACCCAGCTCTGGAAGAGACACTCTGCGAGGCGACTTCCCCCAGGGTCCAGAGCCAGGAGGCACGGACTCGCTCCCTTGGCCCCCAGAGCCCCTGACTTCTCTGGAGGATTCTTTCACCCTCCACCCTCAAGCCACCTGGGGTTTCAGGCCGGCTGCAGGCAGGGCCCTCCTGGAGAGGACTCTCTGGCTCACGTCCTTGGTGCGCCCCCCGGCCCTGCTGAGATGCCCCACCCGTCTGGCGGTGTTCCCTGACGCTTCCCTCCCACTCCTTACAGTGTCCACTGCATTTGCAGACCAGGGTGACACGTGAAAGTGACCACACGGCAACGATCCTTGCTCCAGAGAATTGTCACCCCTCCCGTCTTCCCTCTCTCGGGTCTTCGGCTCTCGTCACGTGTTCTGTTTCTGGTTTTCCTCCCCTCGGCTCCCCAGGTCTCTCAAGGCTTTTATGCGCCATGAACTTTTGCTAAATCGGAGTGGAAGGCCACTGCTTAGCCCAGTATGGAAAACGAACCAGAACTGAATATCGTACTTCTGTAAGTTTCTCGGCCACATCGCAAAGGGGAATTCTTGGGCCATCTTTGTCCACCCAGCGTGTGGCCGGGTGTGTTTTGGTCCAAGCTGGTGGAGGGTACCTTTGGTCCTCAAGGTACCCTCCACCACCCCCAGCTGCCCCAGTAAAACCTGCTTTATACGGAGCCTGCTAGTAACACCTGTTGCCTGTAACTCTGTTGTGATTTAGCTTCTCTGCCTACTTTCTCTCCTGTCTGACCCATCTCTGGAAGAGGTAGGGAGGTGGATTCACCTGTAATCATCCATAAAGCTCATTAAATTGTTCACCTAAAGAAGGGAAGATTTCTCTCCCTCAGGCGGATGAGCCCATCCACCTTGAGGGAACAGCGCGTTCTAACGGGGCCAACTTTTCAAATAATTGTTTCTCCCAACAACCTAAACCACACTGTGATGAATGTTCTTGAGCAAAAATTGTGGCCATTATATCCTCTTATCTCTTTAGAGTAGTTCCCCCCCCCTTAGAATCCATTTCTAGAGGTGGATTTTCAGAGCCAGAAACTCACGCACAATTTGAGGCTTTTTGAACATCGGGGCCAGGTTGCCCGTGGAAACATCCGGCCTCTCGTCACATCCCGGTGGGGGTGAGACGGCTCCGGACCCCCGTTCATGCCAGCACGGGACCAGCATCTTTAAATCCCATTTGCCAACCTGAGAAATGGGGGCCGGCGGAAGGTTTGTTGTTCTTTTCTGTTTTTATTTAAAACATGTTTTGAAGAAAAGCTAGACCAGAGGCTCCCGGGCGCCTGGCGTCGGCTGGCTACTTCTCTACCTCATGTACGGACCCTACACATGTTTTCCCCCCTTTCTATTTTTCTTAAAACTCTTCCTTTCTGTTTTTCTTAAAACTGTAGTGACAAATCTCTTAATCAATACCAGCAAGCAGTTTCCAAGCCAAGCCCAGTTCTGTGGTGCAACAGAGCTGCTGGGCACAGGGCCAGGGGTCTGAGAACTCGTCTGCCCCACGCACAACCACTTGGCCCTGGAGCTTGGGTTTTCCAAATCCCGGTTCAGAGCTGTGTCCCTGCAGGTCACCGGGTGATGCGTCTGCCTCCCTACGTCTCAGAATGACGCACACATTCTGCTCTTATATGCCCAGCACCTTAAGAAAAGTGAGTCAATGGGCAAGAACGGCAACTGTCTGACCTTGAGCGAGTGACCTTAACCTTCCTGAACCTCTGCGCCCCTGAGGGACAAACGGGTGTAGAGACTTTGGCCTCCTCCCAGCCCAGAGATGACCTGACTTGGTGTGAGAAAGGCTGCTCTCTCTCCTCGAATGGAAGCCGGAAGAAATATATACTTATAGATTTTGGCATAAAAAGAAGAGCCAAGCAGAAGTGAGAGAAAGCCTTCAAAGCTCCACAACATGACGCAGAAGGAATTTCTCCAGGGTATCTGATTATCGGCCATTGACTGATTTTGCTTAGCTCTGTTTTCTAATTTTTCTACAGAATACAATATATGTGTAAAATGTGTCATTACTTTTTTAAATGCCAAGAGTACAAGTCTTCTCTGCTCCTGTTCATTCTATCTGCTAGTTCAAAGCCGCAGGAAGTAGGTGCGGACTGCTCGACATCTCTAATGGGAAATAATGAATTGTGTTTGCCAGGAGGGGAAGCAACTGCCCTCAAAGTTCTCTCAGGGTGGACATTTTGCCACCCCAGTTTAGAGTAGCATTTTGATCTCGGTTTCTTCCCTTTTCCCCACCCCCTTCCCCCTCCCTCCCCTCCCCTCCCCCACTCTCCTTTGCCCTCTGCCTCCTCAACCCCATCCAGGTGTCCACCTGCCAGTATTCCCTCTACGGCGCTTGGGTGGGCGGTTCCATCCTGTGCTCGATATCTAGCTTCAAGGACATGTGGGTCACCAGAAATGAGTACGAGGACATGGGCTCCTCTGTCGCCAGTAGAAGAAGCTTCTGATCTCTGCCATCGTGGACCCCAAGGCCTGTGCCGCCAACACCAGCTCCAGGCTGAGCCTCAGCTCGGCGACCCGATCAGAGCTCAGAACCAACTCAGATGCCAGGCCCCTTCCAACCCCCAGGTTCAATAAAAAGGTCAATAAAGGACGGACTCTGCCTCTTTGTCTGGGCAGGGCTGGCAGCAGTGTCCCAGGGCCCTCGCGGCATTAACGCAGGGCGGTGAGGGAGAGGGGATTCCCACCCCTCCCCGTGTGCTAGTCAGGAGGGCGGCGCTAGGCTGCAGTAACAAACATCCCCCAAATCTCAGTGTCACAGACCAAAAGTGTCCTTGTCACTCATGCCACGCGTCCATGGAAGGTCGGGCAGGTGCTCCGTCCCGCACCATCCACACTCGGAATCCTCTGACAGAGCAGACGCCACCTGGAACTTTGCCATTCGCTGTGGATGAGCGTAAGAGTGCCCTGGTGGGTCTTACCTTGGGAACTAAATGCGTCAGCCCCAAAGGGACACGTGGCACATCCCACAGTGAATTAGCCAGAACAAGTCACACAGCTCCACCCAGCTACACGTGGCCGGGAAGTGGCATCTCGCCATAGGCCCGACACACCCACGTGGGCAGAAGGGCGTGGACATTCTAGCTGCCCAAGAGCACCGTTGGGGGAGTCCAGAGCAACGCCGTGCCGAGGGCGTAGTGTGTAGTGTCCTGCAATTAATTCACTCCTCGTGACGCTGTGTGGGACTGGTTCTGTGAAAGCCAATCTCAAGACGGACGCAGGGACCAAACAAAGACAAGAAGGGTTAGTTAACTGGATGGAGGTTAGTTAGGTAGTAACAGGCGGTTTGAATCCATAAATAACATCTAGTGAGAGTGCTGGGGATAAGCCGGAGAGAACTAAGGAGAGAAAGTAACCAAACAACAGAGAAGTTCCCCAAACTGCAGATACACACATTTTTGGGGAGGAGGGGCCGGAGGCAGCCGCGCAGAGCAATGGAAGATTCCCGCATGCAGACCCTGTCTCATGAAATGTCAGAACATTAAAAATAAAGAATAAATTCTGGAGGCTTTGAGAAAAAAAAAACAACAAAAACAGGTTACCTATAAAGTAGAGTCACCAGAAAAAAATCCAGGATGCCTAGTTAAATTTTAATTTCAGCAGTATAACAAATAAATGTGTAGGGTAAGCACAGCCAATACTGCACGAATCTTGCTAAATACAGCAGCCTGGCTACAAAGGAAACAGCCTCCAGTTGCATCGGAATTCTCGTCTGCAGAATTGTTGTAGAGGACAAGGGAGTAAAACCATAAAGATGAGAGGAAGGATTATTTCCCACTTAAAATCCCATACCTAGTACAACAGGTTAAAACGTTAGGAAAAAAATTATTCGAGGAAAGGCAAAGGGTCCAGAAACTTACTATCTACAAGCTCTCTCTTAAAAAATAGATCAAAGACTATCTGCAAGATGAATAAACAAACAAACCAAGGAAAACAAACAGCAGTGAGTAAAGAAGCCAGACCAAACTCAGGGTTAAATCTGAATAATTATCGATACAGAATTTTATTAAAAAATTAGTAACACTATGGAACAAAAAAATCTCAGATGATCTCAAAATTGGGGTGGGGGAAGGTGAGAGAGGAGGGAATGAGGAAGGAAGTGAAATCATGGAAAATACAGGCATTGATGAACTCTAGACACTGAAAGAAAAGAGCAAGTTAGATGTGTCATTTCTCATTAAGGACAGAGGGACAGTGTCCCATGCAGACCCAGTCCACACCCCCAGGTTCTGCTCAGACTTTCCTCAGGGTGAAATGTTGGCACACATGATCTTCCTGGACCCACCACCTGGCCCAGGTGGCTCGGGTAGGGGAAGGTACCATTCTAGCAGCCATTGCTGTATTCCAAAGTAACATTTTTTTATTTTTTTTATCAATGGAATGTCATTATAGTTGTCAAACATTGGGTTTTTCCCCCCAGTCATTTGGGCGTTTCTAAATTTTTTTTCTGGCCTGAAAACAAGTATCATTATTTTAATAAATTTGGAAGTGTTGGCAAAGTTCCTTGTCATTATCATTCCGTTAGCCACTCACCAGGACGGTGTAGACAATAAACCTCTCACTCCACTGACCTGCGGGCTGAAGACCACACAGACATGCATCTTCTTGATAAGTAATTTCACTTCCGATAGCGGTAGTTAAATATATAAATCAGGATACTTTTAAGGTGGCAAACCTCTATGTAAGGCATTTGTTACTTATCAGTGGACAACAGACTCTAAATGACAGGAGCCTAATCTAAAGTGTTGATATTCCCTATGCATTAAGCTGTACATTTTTTAAAAAAACAACTTAAGTGTAACCACTGGGAAAACAGCAATGCGTGGGACATTCATAAAATGAAATTACGTAATTTATAAAAACGTAAAAGAACTATGGTGCTTGGTAAAACTGAAGAACAGAAAAAGAAAAGTAAAATGAAATTACGAAGGAAATTAGTGGAAGAGTGTACGCCAGAAAAGCGAGAACAAAGATAATCAGATGTGAAATAAACAGGATCAAAGCAAAATCATGTTAAAACATCAACGAGATTTCATTCGTGCAGGGGAGAGGCCGACCCTTGAGAACATGCATCCTGCATCTTCGCCGTTCGGGTGCAGAAGCTGCAGGACACGGCAGGCAAAGGGAGCAATTACCTGGAGCCCATGGGAACTCCTTCAAATTGGGATGAACGCGAGCGAATCAAACCCTTCCGACTTGCCCTCCCGCCAACGCCCTGCTCCCCCCCCCCATGTCCTGTGTCATTCGAGGCAAGGCCACCTGCTCTCTCTGCTGCCCAGCCAGACCCTCCAGGTGACCGAGCGCCGAGTGAGCTGCAGAACACAGGCGAGATCACGTCGCTCCCCGGCGGGAACCCCCAGCGGACCCACAGTGGGGTTGGCTCACACCACAAGGACAGCCGCCATCAGGAAACCGGAATGCAAGTGCCGGCGAGGACCAGGAGGCGCCAGAACCCTTGTGCCCTCCTGGCGGGAATGTAAAATGGTGCATGCAGCCCCTGCGGAAAACAGCGAGGCGGTTCCTCAAAAGATTAAACATAGAAAAAGTGCCGTATGATCCAGCATTTCCACTTCCGGGTGTACACCCAAAAGAACCGCGCGCAGGGTCTCCAAGAGATATCGGCGTAACAACGGCAAACAATGATGCCATTATCCCCAGCCCTAACGAGAGCACAACTTGCCTTATGGCGGCCCTAAGTGCCCCACATAGGCTGCTTCCCTCAGTCCTGACCCCGAGGGCAGCAGAAGAGGCGGATGGTTACCCCGTCCCAGGGGACACCAGGGGGAGCGCTCAGGGCCACGCGGCTGAGCAAGTGTGGAGCCGGGGCTCGGCCTGGGCTGCTCCAGAAGTAGCCAGGGCCATCTGGACAGCGACAGACCAGTGTGAGCGACAGCCCAGCTTGCCGGCGGCGGGGCGGGAAGAGCAGGGTGAGACGAGGGCTGTCGGCTTGGCCGGAAGCAGTTGTTGGGAAAAGGATCCCTGTTATCTCCCAGTAAGTTAACAGTCCTCAGTAACTGGCGTGCGCACACGAGCCCGGAAACCTGGCTTGCCTGGTTTCTCCAAAGGAGCGTGATAATCGGCATTCGGCAAGTGATTTACACTAACCGCTCCACGGTGAGTTTCTTCTATTAAAAACACAACAATTAGTGATCTTAATAGTCCATTACGCTTAATAAGATGCCAAAAATTGCTTCATTAAAAGCCAATTGAGAGATTTGGGTAAATAACCATAAGCCCAATCCCCGATGGCTTTTCCGTTCTGGAGAGCTGGTCTCACAGTTGGCTGAGTTTCCAACCCCAGCCCAAGGTGTAGCCGCCAGGGGCAGCCCAGGCCCCAGGGATGATCATTGCTCACGAGGTCATTTTGACCCAGGTCTCAGATTTGGGGCTCATTGCGCCCCAGCCTGTGCCGCAGCAGGGAAGGAGGGTGTAGAAGGGCTTGCTGGGGCCCCTCTGCCACCCCGGGGCTTCCTGACCCACTGTGGTTGCAGCTGGTCCATGCTGGCTGCCCAGAAGCACAGAGGCAAGGCCACAGGTGACCCAGGGCTACACGGGCTGACAGCACCAACCCCGGTGTCTGGATGGGTAGACGCATGAGCGGGGGGCTGAGCACAGCGGGCTCCTCCGTGTCTGAGGGAAGGAAGCAGTGAGTGAGTGGAGCAGTGAGCCAGGGCCGCTGTGACGCCTGTGCGCACCTGTGCTCGGACCAGCCCTGGACTGGGAGTCTCTGCCGCCCTGGGTCGTTCGGTGCCTGTGGGGCCTGGCTCCCTCCCCATCGGGGCGGCCCCAGACCTCTCCTGGCTCCCTGGGCCTCCCCATGGCCTCCTGCCCCCCTCCTCCCTTCGTGCCTGTCTCCAGTGCTCCTGAGGAGAAGGTCCTGCTCGCCTGGGCCCCTGGGCCTCAGGGCAATGCCACACCCTCAGCCCAGCCGCGTGAGGCCGAAAGGCCCTGAGCCCTTGGGAGCAGCAGCCGTGGTCCACACCCACTGCGGGGACACAG